TCAATTGTGTATTTCCTAGGTATTACTACCCAGGTTTTAAAAACCCGACCGGACCGACCGGTTTCAACCGTGAACCGACCAGTTGTCCGATCCGGTCCAGTTCAAAAATCGGCTTCGCAGAAGAAACCGGCCTGAACCGGACTGAACGGGCGGTTCAACCGGTGAACCGGCGAACCGGTCCGGGTTCAAAAGAACCGGCCGATTTTAAAAAAAAAAAAAATTAATGATAAATAAAATATATATAAATAATATTATTTTACTTCATTACTTTTTAAAAAAAATAATTTTTTTATTAAATAATGAGATTTTTGATACCATTTATATATGGTTATCACCTCATGAAACAAGTTTTTTTAAGAGAAGAGGGAACTTATATAGAGCCAAAAGCCAACTATCTCTACTTCCTTCATGATGTGGGACTAAAAAAGAGTGCATGAATGCTATGTGAGCTTGGGCTTTATTGGGCCATTAATATGAGTTTGCTGGGCCAAAATTTTGGGCTAGTTGGGCACGAATTTGGGCTCTTTGGTGCAAAATTTTTTTAAATTTTGTATTATAAAATTTGTTAATGATGATATATTATAAAAATTAATTATATAAATTTATATATTATATTAAATATTATTCTTTATTACACATTTTTAAATTTAATATTATAAATTTATATATTATATTAAAATTTTTAATTTGTTTTAATGTATATTATAAGAATCTCATTTATTATAATTATAATGAATATAAAAATTAATTATAGTTAATTTATTAGATATTCATAATATAATATAATTAACTAAATATTTTATAAATTATAATTATATATATATATATTCATCATTTTTAATTTAATTAATTATATTGAAAGATAATTTATTAAAATTATATAATTTAAATTCTTAGAATTATATTATTTGATGTTAAATTCACGTAATTATCCCTATTAATGTTATAAATTTTTAATAATATTAGTATTTATTTACATTCATCCGCGGTTCGACGCCGGTTTCGACCGGTCGAACCTTGAACCTCTCCTTCTTCCGGTTCGTTGTCCGGTCCGGTTTTCACAACCTTGATTACTACTGTTTGGATCGAAGCAGATGCTAAGCTTTTGATTCACTATATTGAAGGGAATTCTATTTTCAATCCAGCTTATTTTATATGCTTAAGGATATTAAACATTGACTCTCTTAGATATCATTTTCTCTTTCTCATATTTTTTGGGAGACCAATACTATGGCTGATTTCTTAGCCAAACTTTTGAGTTTAATTTGAACGGTTCATTGAATTTTCTGAAAATACTTTACTTGGGAAGCTTCAGGGTTTGGTTATATTGGATAGCTCTGGTCTTCCTTATATTCGTTTCAATTAATTTTCATTGGGTTTCCTGTCTTGCTACTCTTTTATTTCTGGTTGTTTATGTTGTATTTAATCAATTTTTATGATGTTAATTCTAGTGAGTTTTTAGTTATGGTAAGTCTGTTTGTTGTTGGTGTTCTACAGTGGTATTTTTTGGGTGTTGTATCCCTTTTGTCATGGCACTGTTTGTGTATTATGTTGCTTCTTCACTTGTTGTTGACCATGTTCTCTTCTTGGGGATATTCTTGGGGGTCCATTTGTTGCTGGTCGAGATTATGGGTTTGTGTATTCATGCCTAATTTTACGGCTGGGGTGTTTTTAGACTTATTATGTATGGCTATGATTGTTTCTTGCCAGATATTAACTTTTTGCACCTACGCTGCTCATTTTCTCCTCTGGTTATTGGAGGGTTTAGGGGTTGTGTTAGTGGGTTGAGAGTTAAATTTCATTTTTAGTAACAATCTTTGGCAGTACTGGACAAATATGTCTCTCTTTAATTCTTGTGTTTGATGGTCTTAGGATTTACTACTTTCATAAACAATTTAGTATTTTAATTTCTAGTGAGGCTCTATATAGCTTTTTCTATGCCATCCATCTGCTGAGGTGGATCTTATGGTAGGGTTATGTTGCTGTTGGCCTTCTTATTTACGTCTACAAGGTCTATTTTCAATTTTTATTCTAGAGGTGGTTTGGGTTTGAGCAGTAGGTGCTTAATTATGATTATCCTTATTTTCTTAACTGGAGGGATAATTTTCTACAAGACAAGTCAGATGCTACTTTGATGAGCCAGAATGTTTCATGGTTTTTGCTCTCTTCTACTATTTGGACCAATGAATTCCTGCTTTCTTTATTAGTGTTGAGACTTCTCTGTATTGATCTGAGGGTTGTTAGGTTATTACTGATTCTTTATTTTCTTGGTAACATCTCCCTGGGACTGCTTGCAGGTGTTTCTTTACAATTGCTATTTTGCTATCTTAACAATTCTCTTGTGGAGCTTCTATTATACCAGAATGGACTGTATGCGTTGGGTGAATGCAGGTCTATGCTTCCTCATCATTACAATTTTTGCTTGCACCTGTTAGTGAAAATTTATTCTTTATGCGCTCTTTATTGGCCTGCTATTAATTCTGTTTGGTGTTATACCCGTGTGATGGTTAATGCTGTTTTCTAGGCAGATTTTTTGCCTGAGCCTAGCTTTTCCTGTGCTGCACGCATGTGATATTTCTAGATTTTGTCTTATTGCTTATGGTAATATCTTTCCTTCCTTGTGGTTGCATTTATAGGTGATGATCGAATCATTCCTTACATGTTATTATCAATTGCATATTTACCTTTAATTTTTAATTCTTTACTTTATTATGTTATTTCTATATCTTGCTTTGCAACATTTTGTTTTGCATCCGCTACTTTTTTAAGGTGTATTGCATTGTGGTTCTTGCTCACAAGACTCCTATTTTTTGTAGAAAGTCTGTGCATAATGCTGATTTCAAGATCTTTCTTTTTTGTGTGCTCGCTCCTCGAAGCCCTAGAATGTTTTTAGGTTATGTTTTTTTTATTAGATGGGTCCTTTGGCTCGTAGTTTTTATTTTTACTTTTATTGTAGCTCATTTGAGAATTTGTGAGCTGAAGGTCCCCCTTAAGGTCATTGTAATCCTTTTTTTATTAACGCGTAGGCCCCTCCGTGTGGTTTAACAAAAAAAATTCAAAATTTTTCGGTCAAATTATGACCCAAAACTTTGAAAATTAAATTTAATAAGATTATGTTTTTTTTTTTCTTTATTAAATCCTTTTAGGAGCCTACGAGTTAATTAAGGAACATATTACAAGGATCTTTAAGGGGCATCAAGCTCTCTACTGTGCATAAGTTCTTCAAAAAAATCAGAAAAAACCTACGATCTCAAGTTCTGTACTAAACAATTGGACAAAATTTTATAGATAGATTCTAAGTTGGCAAGCAACCAACAACAAAAAATTATTAAAGATCCAGAGAAAAGCTTTAAGCCCCATATTTCCAGCAAAAAAACCAAAATCCAGAAAACCTGCACTAATCAAATCCTACAAAATAAAGTGAATGCAAAAGTGGAAATGCATATACAAGAGAGACAGCTACAAATATCATTCAGATCAAGGTTATAAAATTTTTTAACAAATTCCACAAGGTAATTATTAATGGCAGTAAGATTCTAGTTAAAATTGATGTCAATTATTCAGTGAGAGAGTGAGAAAGTCTCGGATTTCTAAAGGTAATTTTCAATTTTTTTCTGTTTCACGGCCGTTGGCGGGTTTCTCGTCTTAGATGGCGGAACTTACTCCGGCCATCTCCGGCGACCGGAACGCTCCTCCGTGGACTGGATTGTCGTCGTCGTCGACTGTCAAAACTTTCGTTGGTAAGTCATCTGGAATTGTGATCCGAGAACCGGCTCTGGATAAGATGCCAGTTCTATCTCCTGTTGAACGAAAAGGCAAACAAGTTATGGTGGACGAAGCTGAGCAATTTCCAATTCCTGGATTGGGTTCTTCATCATCCAGAATGAAATTATTTGTGAACAGATTCGCTAATCCAAAATCTGTCTCAATGATTGAAGCTGGTAAACTGTTTGATTTAAATCAAGGTTGCAAATCAGGTGTTTGTGAAAAAACTGTAGAAGATGGAAGTATATTGAATTCTACTTTGGTAAACAAATCCAGTTACTTGACTTTAGAGCAGGAGAACTTCAATCCCTGAAAGAAACGTCCTTATATCAAAGTTAATCTCCCTGCGGACAGTCAGTTCCTGACAGATGATGGTTCAGCTGTTAAGCTCTATGAACCAAATGTGAAAGCCAACTCTTAGAAATTGCAATTCTCATTAGTTGTCAAGGTGTTTGAGAGACGTTTACCAATTCAGTTGGTTGCAACTGAATTAAGACGGCAATGGACTAAGTTCGGTAAGTTTCATTTAACCAGTCTGGGATCGGATTGGGTATTATGCTCTTTCTTCTCAATAGAGGTAATGGAAAACATCCTTTCAGGAGGTCCTTGGTTTGTCAATGGCCACTTAATTGGGCTAGACAAATGGAATTCTAATTTCAATCCCAATTCTCTTAAAGGGCTTTCTCCTCCTATTTGGATTAGAATGCCTAATCTACCGTTGTATTGTTGGGATGAAGTTAATGTATCCAGGATTGCTTCTTCAATCGGAGAACCCATGTTGATAGATGGACATATGTTCCAATGGGGAAGACGAGAATTTGCAAGGATGTGTCAGAATACAACTGGATCAACAACTTCCTACTCGTGTTTGGGTGGAAGGTGTTAATGGAAAATTTTTTCAGCGAGTGGAGTATGAAAAAATTTCTGTATTCTGCCAGAAATGTGGTCATATTGGCCACTTGGAAGACTCTTGTAAGGCTGCTGTGAAGATTTTGAAACCGGTAGAGTATTCAAACCAAAAGGAGTGTAAAGATTCTACTATGAATAAAGATTCAAATGTTGATTCAGAAGACAAATCATGGCACTCGGTTAATTACAGAAGATTCAAGAGAAAAGAAGTGAAAAATCAGAGGAGGATGTTCGTTCCCAAGGCTGCTGTTCAACCTACTGCTGATAAGAAGGAGGTGCCTAAATCTGTTTTGAATAGAGATAAAAATCCTTCTAACAATGAATCCAGTGAAAAATCTATGGGTACTATAGATGTGGAAAAGAAGACGGGAGTATTCTAAAGTTATAAGCCTGATTTGCAACCCTAAGGAAATTCGTTATGATGGG